GTGTCTAAATTCTCCCATCCATCTATTCATGAGTCTTCAGTTCTGATGAGTACACGTCATCTTCTGGAGAGTGGTCTACAAGGAAAACTCAGACAACTGTTCCAAAATTGATCTGAATTCAAATAAGAAAGCTTTGCATTTTGGGATTCATTTATCTACAGTTCTTTATAGGTAANCTCCTGTCTTCCTCCTTCTTACTTTCTTAATCATTAAAAAAAATGTGTACTTCCCATTAACAGAATTAGTTATATTGGTAGCTTATGGAAGAGGGCGCTAAATATTCTGAAAACTGCACTGGGAAGAATTTGAAGATATTTTTCCCACTTTAGAGAAAGAGAAATGTCATTTGAGGAAGAACAGAAATGAGAGGAGACACTGTCAGGAGCACTCCGATGCCCTGAACACCTTCAGGACATGCGTGCCAAGTCCTAACCCTCCCCATGAAATGTGCCAGGGCCTCCAGCCGAGCCTGGTACATCACAGGCGCTCAGGAAACACGTTGAAAGAAGGGACATGGAGTCACTTTCTGGAGGGTGCATGTGCCAACGTGCAGGGGAAACAGCCTGAGAACTAACACTGACCATGAAAACCATCTGCCCTCTACCCCTGCTACTGCCGACAGGGGAAGCTACCGTCTGTGCTTGGCCTTCCACGCAGGACACGCCATGCAAGTCCCGAGGATGCGCTGAGAAGGGACGGGGCCAGGGACGCGCCATGGGGCCTTATTGGACCGCGCGTACAATAAACGTAAATTGCTCTGGGAATATTAACGGGAAAACAACTGATTTTGCCTTTAGTAAAAACGCAGTAAACTGTTATTGCCAGGAACTGAAACGTGGGTTGGGTCTTGAAAGATCTAGTTTCTTTCTTCAGAATGAAGCATGTGCTCTAGGCTGAAAAGCCACCACAGAAAGCCCTGCTGGCATCCAGGATGGAGGTGTGCTCAGGGAACTGCAAGTAGCCTGGTGTGTTCACGACAGTAATTTCCGCCCGCTTTCCCAAAGACCAGGATGGTGGCCCCCTCCTGCTCAGATGTCCCCGTAGACACAGGGCTTGCTGCCGCTCCTGCCTTTCTCTCGCTGAGGTACAAACTTGGTTCTTTCATGCCTCCATCACGTTTCAGCTGAGAGCCACTAGCCTGTGGCACAGAAGTCCAGGGGGCGGGAGGCGGGTCCCAGGGCCACACGGAGAGGCGGGTGCCAGGGCCAAGCTCCCGGGCACAGGTGCTGTGATTGGATCAGCTGGACATCTCTCCCAGCCTCCAGCACCGTGCCTGCGCTGATGACAGCCCTGCCAGACCGCCTGTGGGATGAATGCGCACAAACCTGAGACAAGGCCCAGGCTAAGACCGTCTCCTAAAAGTACAGCAAGGCTTCCAGGCGCAGGGGAGGCTGGAGGGAGCAGAAACACAGCAGCGTGAGGACGAAGGACACCCTCCGCCAGCTGGCAGGGCCACCCTTATGGTCACCAGCCTCTAGTTCTAAAGAAGATGCTTCAGACACCCTTGTGGATTCCCCACTCAGAACGGAATGGTGACACGTAACATCACGGTCCCCACAAGAGAAAGACGTGGTCTGACCGCGCGTGGCTGGGGGAGACACAAGGGCTGTGCATCCCCCGGGCCGCCGGAACGCCGCTGCAGGCTGTGCCCTCGTCAGAGATGAATGTGCAGCTGCCGCGAGGACAGGGGTGCCTTCATTACCCTCTGATTTTCACATGTCATGTGTCATTTCTGGGTCATTTTCTCTTTACAGCCACAATTTTTAGACTCTTCTCAAGTCTTAAGGCAATTTAGCACCACTAAAAATGCAGTAGAGAGTAGATGGAGCTCTCTAGCCTAAGGAAAGAAAAGAAACCAATATTTCATAGGATTTTTAGACATTGGATGTTAACAACAAACCAACAAAGACCCCCAACAGCGATCGGAACATAAGGCCGGTCCTAGGTAAGAGTGACAACAACGCTTTTGGAAGAGGCTTCAGGTGATGGGCAGGGGATCTTCAGACTGTGACCAGCTGTCAGAAGCTTGGCATTAGACAAATGTCAGAATTGGCCCGTGAGGAAATCTCCCGAGTATGTTACAGGTTCACGGGAACCTACTATTTACAAACAAGACTCTCTGGTGTCTGACAAACCAGGAGAAACAGCTTCACAGTGATACACACCCACTCCTACGAGGCAGAGGTGCTCGCACAGCAGTACAGGTGACACGTTTCAGGGAGGGACAGGCAGGGGAGGGGGGCTGGCTGCAGCAGGACCAGAATTCGGTCTGGGGGGCTGGTCACCCTGTGCAGAGCGGCCCTTAGGCCCTTCTCTGAGGTCTTCCAGTCTCCTCATGGGACCAGGCAGAGCCCCTCTCCCCTTCCGGACAATCTCCCAGGGGATTTGTGGACTTTCCCCACCTGCGATCAGAAGTCCAAGGCCACCACACAGAGCCTGGGCCAGGACGTGTTGATCGGCTACTTTCTGTCCTCTGCAGCTTGAGCAAGAAACCAGGGACGAGGTGGATGAGGGGAATGGAGAGAGTAAGGAAGCGGGCAGAGTGGCCTCCGCCTCTGGACAGCTCCTGCCTCCGTCGTGCGCCTGGGCAGGTCTGGGGACAAACCATCAGCAAATGCTGTTTTGTTTCATGAACAGGTCAAGCCTGGGATGGAGAGCAGGAAGGGGACCAGGCATTGACCGCGTCCTCAGTGACGGGCACTCGGCGATGGTCCCACGAGAAGGCCACACTATGGGGGCCTCATCCCCATGTCACCGGTGAGAAAAACAGGATTCAGGGCGGGTCTCAAAAAATAAAGGACAGCTCTCCCACTGTCCCCCTTTGCGGCACTGAGCGCAAAGGGGTTATGTAATAAGGGGGGACATTTTCCAAGAAACCTAGCTTAAGTGTTTTTAAAATTTCCTCCTGCTCCCGTTATAGTTAGCAAATTTTGCCTATTAACAAACCCCTAAGTATTGATTTAATCCTAATTTTAAAAAA